CTATCCAAACCTTGTGTGTTTACTCATTTACTCAACAGAACTTGAGACCTAAAAGCCTTAAAGTTTTGTCCCATGCTCCATATATGGAAATCATTGCAGGGGTATTAGATATTCTTTTTTTTTCTTAAAGGCAGGCAATCTCAGCCTCCAAGAAGATATAAAGACTTTTTTTTTTCTTTAATTATACTCACAATTTGCATTTACAGGGTTCATAATTATTAGCAGGATGCTTATTTACTGCTGAGCAGATCCCTAAAGGAGGAAATTACACAACATGAACATCCTTATGTTTCACTAATGTTTGATCATTTAACTTCCATGATATGGTGGTCTTGGAAATTGCCCAATGTTCTGACCTTTTTACTGTTKTATATTTCATTTTGCTTTTGCTTAGGGAAAAGGGTTCACACATGGTGCTCTTTTAATAGTGTTTTTGTGAGACATAGAGAGAAACATAAAAAATAAAAGAATGAAAAGTTTATAAATTCACATAAATTTGGTAGGTGTTGTGGCCTCAATAAGGAGAAATTTATAAGGAATATGTTTTTCCAGACAATAGAATAAGGAATGGTTGGAGAAAAAAAAATCCCATGTTAGCAGAGACTTTTATTACAGCATGCTAAATTATACCATTCTTTTCAGACCACGGTATTTTAACATTTGCCAATGAAACTCATCTCTATATCCCTGCTTTAAAATTTTTCTTAGCAACATGCTATCAATAAGAATATCTGGGCTTGGAAAAAAAAACCATATGCATAAGCCAAAGACTAGAGAAGGAAAAAATATAAAGCAAAACCAGAAATAAAGTACATAAAAGGAAAGGATGAAAGAAAAAGAAATAATTTTTGTAGATACTAAAATTAAGAACTCAAACTAATGCAAATAATCCTCTAATGTAACTGTTTGTATAATCAAGAAAACAATAGATAAAACTGTTTACTGTGAAAAAACCCATTGTTTCAGTCTTCTCTGTGGAATTTTGAAATAAGAATATTCTTTCAAACCTGAAACACGTCAGTCATAAACCAGTGGCTTAATCACAGTTTTATTTGAAATATTTTTCTTCTTCTCACCACACACTTTAAGATTATTGCTTAAGTCTATTGCTTTACCTCGTTTACTTAYGCAATCCACAAGACCATCTAATGTCATCAATTTTTCTCCCACTTATGTGGTCTGTCAGTCAATATTTCCTCTTGCTTTCTCTCTTTTTTTTTTTTTTCAAGAAAGCTGCAGGAGTGAGAAGAATATTTAAAACTAAGAAAATTCCACAAAACCACAGTAATAACAGCTAATAATTAATAATAATACCCAAAACAGTGGTAGTAGTATTTAACAGTACAGCCTCTCCAAATATTTCAGAGTTGTTTGGTTAAATAGACTATTATTCAACATGGTATAATCCCTTTTAATATGTAGTATATCTGAATGCAAGCTMTCAATATTCAATATTAAATTTTGAATATAGCATCCATCACCATAAGTTAGTGGCTAGGTATGGCTTTTTTGTTGTTGTTAAGCTTCCTATCTCTAAGAGACATAAGRCCTATAAACATCTTGCACTTTATTCTCACAAACATAAGCTATTAATAATAGCTAACACTTATTAATAATATTTTTATAATAATTTGACATAATAATAGCAATATTGAGATATAATAACAACAATAATAACAACAACACCTAAATAAGGTGTCCACGGTTTCAGCGAAATACAGGCAAACATCATCAAGGGGGATATAGGTTTGGGCAACATGTTCACATCATCCACAAAGTTTTTATAAATCCATCTCTAGCTTATTTCCTATGAAATATCTGGAATTCTGCAAGAACCACCAGAAACCACAAGACTGTGGTAAGATTTATAGTAAACAAAGATTCTTTTTCCAATATCTCTCCCGACCATAGTTACCTTCTCACTTCAGCATCATTTTGCATCTTTTATTATGAGATTTCTGTACACAATGTGAGTCCTTGTCATGCAAATTATCAATTCTTGATGATATCCCTAGCTCTGCTCTCTCTGCTTATTTTCAGTGCTGCTTATTTTCAGATGCAATGACACTTCACACAGAAATTTTTGCTCATCAACAAACATGAGGTACAGTGTTTTACTCAACCATTTCCACTGTTGGTATTTTAGCAAAACAGGACTATGGGGCAGCAGACTGCCCCATAGACTTCCAGTGTCCCCTGAGGGAAGGCTCCTTCCCTAGGGAATTCACAAGTAGCTGAAAGTGGAGCAATGAGTCCCTACTTTTAAACCTTTAGTCCACAAGGTATGAAACTGGTAAAGATGAACAATCGATACCAATAAAGTTCTGCTTTGCATATCACTTTCTAGAACAGATTTTCATATGCTCAGACTATTGCCATTCTTTTTTTTCCTTGACAATTAACTCCATTTCTATAGCTATTTAACTGTAACATCTTGTCCACTTCTAATTCTGTATGTGCCCAGAGACCCAGCACTCTGAGAGGATTCATTAAACAAGGTATGACATGGGCTACATCCTCTTCAAGGATATAAGAGAGTTAACACTATAATGTGCCCTTGGCTTAAATGTTGTTGTAGTGTTGCCCATGATAAAAGCAAAATATTCAAATCTGGGGAAATGATGAACAGAATATTCACTTCCYCCACTAAGAAAAGAAGGTATTAAAAGATAATGAAAAGCATCTGAAATAAAAAGTGTTGTAATGAAAAGCATTTTAAATTCTGAAGTTTCCTTCCATGCTTTTTCCTTCATGTTAAACAATAAAGAAGAAGGAATCACCGAGGATTTGTGACATTSTCAGTTATTTATGAAGAGGACAGACCTAATGAATGTAGTGCAGGTTTGGGTGAGTCTTTCAGTGTCCATATTGCAGCAATGTTCCTCTAAAGGCAGGCATGGCCTCCTCACTTGTACAGGGGTTAYGCAGTCTGCAGTCAGGCCTTCCAGGGTTAGTGTCTCCTCAGGAACAGGAGGGTTCATGGGGCACTATTGTCCTTTTCCTCCCTATCCAACAGATATGAAGTACTGCTTCCTGATTCCCACGGACTAAACTGTGGGTACTATTTCAACAGAGTGGTAATTGGTTTAAAATACAATGTTTGCATCACTGTGGGACCTGGAAGACMGCTATATGTTCCTCCTTATCTGAAGAAGCACTGTACTTTTGCCAAGTATAGATTGCTGTTTTGCTTCAGCACTTGCAGCTTCTAAGCGGATGTTTTGATTTATTAGTTCAACTTTTCTTTTTCAGGTACAATAATTCTCTTTGAAGCATCAAGCACTCAGGCAACCTTAAGACAAAAATCATTATGCAGGAAAAAAAGCTRCAAGACTATTTTATAGCACATACATTATAGAACCACAGAATGGTTGAGGTTGGAAGGGACCTCCAGAGATCATTTAATTCAACCTCACTGCACTAGCAGGGACACCTAGWGCACATGGCACAGGATGGCATCCAAGCWGGTTTTGAAGACCTCCAGAGAAGGAAACTCCACAACCTCCCTGAGCAGCCTGTTCCAGGGCTCTGACACCCTCACAGTAAAGAAGTTCTTCCTCACCTGGAGATGGAACGTCTTGTGTTTCAGTTTGTACTCATTATTCATCCTACCACCAAGAAGAGTTTGGCCCCTCAGGTACTGTTCATATTGATCAGATCCCCTCTCAGTCTTCTCTTCTTTAGGCTAAACAGGCCCATCTCGCTTAGACTTTCCTCATAAGACCGATGTTCCAGTCCCTTAATCATCTTTGTTGCTGTACGCTGGACCCTCTCGAGAAGCTCCACGTCCCTTTTGTACTGGAGAACCCAGAACTGCACCCAATACTCCAGGTACAGCCTCAACAGAGCTGAGTGGAGGGGGAGGATCATGGAGGATTATGCAGAACAAACAAGTAACAAGTAATAAGCAAGTTCTTACAAAACTTCAATTAAAAAGTCAAGATTTTTATCCCCAAACACATGACATATTAAATATTAAAAAAAAACCCTTCCAAAACATTATAAGGCTTTCAGTCTTCTGACCTCTGCTCTTTTCTTTCTGTTTATCATGAGCTCCTATTATTTTAGCTATGCAGCAGGAGGCAGGATGTGCAGATTTACCCAAAGGTTTTTAAATGCCACCATCTTATTTTTTATCTAGGCACTCAAGGGTCCATTCAAAAGTTATTATCTCTAAAGTTCCAAAGTGCCTTTTGTAAAGACAAATGCTTTCAAAGATATTAYCCATAGGGCAAAAATAAGACTTTCCTACCAAAGTAGTTTGCTTTGAGTTTAAATGTCTGTTAAGAATTGTCTATTTACATTTATTTCTCACTTGACTTCAGACATAGTATTAAACAATCCCTTGGAAAAAACCCTCAGTCTCCAGGGAACCTGTAATCTTATACTGCGATCGATTGATATTCCTCTACAAAATCAATGGGATGGTAGACTGATGGAAGCAAACATATCATCAACCTATGATGAGAAACATTTTTGCAGTAGAAAGAAACTGGGGTCAATGCTATCTTTATTGGTTTCTCTCTTTGTATTTCATTAATCTCTAGGTCAGAACACCAGAAGAACTGCTAATGAATAAGATTTGTAACACCCATTTACACAGGAGGTGTAATTTGTGCTGATGAATTCTTGATGTTTTTGTCTGTAAACTCAAGGCTATTCTTTTATCCGTGACCCATAAAGCTAGCAAAATTACTAACTTTGTCAGGCATTCTGAAAATCGCTGGCAGAGGGGTTCTCAGATGAGATTTTAGAATATTTTTTCATCTGTCTCAGCTCTGTAAGTAAAAGGGATAAAATAATCATCAGCAACTCACTTTTTTATTTTTTATTTTATTTTATTTTTTTTTTTTGCATTTAAGTCACATTCTCAGCAAACGGTTGAGTGCTCAGGTATATTTAGCAAACAGTAATACTGAGTGCTTATTGAAGCCTGACACAGACTTTGTTCTTCATTCAAGTTCTTTTCCAGGGTCTTTACTGTTATTGATCAGGTCTGGAAAATGGTGCAGGTTCCTATGGACTCACTGGGACATGTAAGTTTCTTAACATGCTTGGATAGAAGTGAATGATAGCAGTTCATTTTGAAATTTCTCCTCATATTTGTCTCTTAATACGTTGGTTGAATGCAAAATAGTTTCTTTTACTATCAAAGTCAGCTACAATGTTCTTACAAAGAACACCAAAAAGAAGAAACAGAACTATGGAAACAAATAGGTAAGTTGAATCATCCCTACATGTGCTCTGGACTTGTGACAATTTAATGCAATTATCTGTTCACTCTGACTTTTCTGACTTTTCTATTAAAACTTCTGATCAGATATTCTTACATAAGTTTGAGCCTTGATTATTTTTAAATGTTAACACACAGTGCTGAAAGCCAAGATTTGGAAATTAAGACAGTGCAGTGATGCTGCTAGAGAGATAGAAGTCAGTCAAAGCTCTAATTGAAAACAAAGAATGAGCTAAATTCATCCATAAGACAGAGGTGATTTCTTTTTTAAAYTGAGGTTCTTATTCTAAACACTGCATCAATTAGGAAACTGACTTTTAACTAAAGGAAATAAAGTATATGAAATTTGGCCAGCTTTCAACTAACCTAATGTTGTGTTAAAAACCTAGTCAGGTAAAAATATCATAGTATATGATTACTCTAGCTTCCAGTTTATATTTTTTAGCTAAACAGCCATAATCAGTAAAGGGTATGGCTTTGCTTTAGCTGTTAACAAAGTATTGTTGTGTACATAAAGAATGTTTACTATCAAAGAAATACTTCATTGAATCATCCCACTTTGAACTGCTGCAAATCAGAAGCAAAATTTAGAAACAACTTATACAGGTAGTTCAGTATTTAGATGAGAAAGAAAAATATCCTTTTAGTGTCCTATAAAAATAGGGCAAAGAGAGAAATGTACAGTMTGTCAAATAGACAAATATGCATCAGGGCTGCAGATGTCACAATGCAAATATCTTAGTTATTCCCTAAAGTGGAAGAGATCCTGAATGTCTAAATACTCTGGACTGGATCATCCTGTTCCCCAAATGATTCCCACTCAAGATCCCTCTCCATCTATTTAGGGGTGTAGGAATACTCTGAAGTTCCTACAGAAGAAAGAAGAACTCACATAAATACAGCCAAACTGGCCTTAAAAAAGTATTATTAATAGCCTGTAGGAGCAGAAGGCCTTAGAGAGAGCTTTGCCTTTAGAGCAAAGGTAGCTGAATGCCCCAAGTAACTATTAAACAAATTCAGGTACATGTACCAGAATTATAATAACAGCAACATAGTAAAGTATAACTTTGAAATAACTTTTCAGCATTACTTTCCTCTTGGCATTCAGGTTAGCAGTTAATCAGAAGCAATTTCACACCAGTAAAGCAAAGAAAAATCCCCAAATCAACTCCAAAAGACTAGCTAACGTCACTGAGGAAACAGCCAACTATGTCTGCTGATGGATGTATGGCCCGCAGCCCTGGATGGGGTTCAGTGGGATTCATTATGAAGAGAAGCAATGAAGCATTTGCCAAAGGCATGGGATTGCATGGGAGTACAAGCTCTTCCACTTGGATTAATGGCAAAACTCTATCCTATGTGGAACACTTCTCCCCATAGGAAAAATCTTAAAGACCTCAATAATTTGGAATAGTGAGATATTGATGCTACTGTGCCTTGCCTCTGCAGCCTTTGAATAGTGTTACTTAATGCAAAAATTCCTTCACTTTTAACTCTTGGTATTCAAATTTGAAGGAAATTAACAATATGTGCATGTGCAAGCTTAGGAACTCCTTGAGGTGCAATTTTTGAGGCTTAAATTGCCTCATTTCACTTCTGAAAATGCATAAAATCAAGAAAGCTCGAAAATACTCAGGTTTGTTTCTGTAGTGTGTAGCATTGCCATGTGGACATGTGCAAAAAAAAAAAAAAAAAAAAAAGGCTAAATCAAATTTTTGAAGAAGCTTTTTCCCACAAAACAATGAGCCATGAAACCGTGTCTCTCAATATAGAAGTGATCGCTGATATTAATAAAGAAAGAAAACCGACAAAAAGAAAACACTATACAGCTCTTTCCAGTTCCTATTTTGCCGATTTTCAACTACTTTTAATACCACTTGGTCTAATTATAGTGTTAACAGAGTTTTCTGAAGTTAAATGCTTGAATTCCTTCATGTATATATTCCTTTACACCACATGCGTTTAAGAACAAAGTGTACATTTGCATTTTCGATGCATTTTGTGATATTAAAGGGAAAATTCATTAATTAGAGACGTAAAGGAAGAAATGGTTTTCTTGACAGGTTTAAGTCCATCTGAGACCACTATGACAGAATATGGATTTAAAAATGAGGTTACCAGAGCTTCCTTAACTTCTAGTCACTTTAGTATAASGTCTAAGTAAAACATTACTTTTCCTCTGACTCTAAACAATTTCCAGAGAATTGAATAAACACCCTTTCTGCATCCATTTGGCAAGATGCCTAACCTGTTTATAGCAGAGCCTCTACTCCGCTTTAGCGGAAGAGCCCTTTCAAATAAAGAGGCTAGCTGAAAGCAAGACTCTTTTGCAGATGTTCTTGCAGTTTTGAAATGGTGTGTGTTTATGATTAGAACCAGATTAAAGAAAGTGCTGGGCGGGACGTAGCTACAGAGTTTCCGTAAAAAACTGACAGAGAAGCTGAATTCAGATGCATAAGGTACATTAGCAAATCAGCTGTGGTTCATCTCTTGAAATGAACATCTCACTGTGCTCTTCCATTATCTCTGATGTTTTCGCTAAGGAGTTATAAATCTGTTAGTAAATTATTGCCTTATAATAGTGAGATACTGAAAGAATGGGCAGGCAATATAAGATTGGGAGAAGGAGCTGGGAATATTTTCTAATTCTAAGTTCATCTGAAACATACAACTTTATTAAAGTTTCTATGAAGGCACTAGTATCCTGATGTTCAAATTATTCATTTTTTCAGTCAGAAGTATCCGAGGCACTCAAGGCCATTTTTCCCTCTTCCATTCTGTGAATGCACAAAGCTTCCTTCAGTTTCTGAGGGAATTCTCACAGCACAAGGCTGTTCAGCTAATTTCTGAAATTATTATTGCTCCTCCTGTGATATTTTTTACTTTCTCTATTTTATCTTTGTATTACAGTCCTGAGTGCTCTGACAACTGTCAAGCCTTCCTTCTTCCTGAAGTCAGTGTCAGGATTACCAGCTGTCTGCTCTGACTGATGGCTGTTACACAGCTGTAAAGACATGAAACTTAATCTTCCAAGCAAAAGAGAGAACACTTTTCATTCCGTAAAAGTTATTCTAAGAAGATGAAGAAGGGTTTTTCAATACAGCAAGTCTTGGATTAGAAAATAACAAGATACTTACCTTTCCCTTTGGCATATATTTGTTGTTCATCTGGGGCTTTAGCCAAAGCTTTAACAAAGTCAAAGTGAGAAAAAAGATAATCTTTCCAACTGAGTACAAAGAAAGGATACTATCCAGAAAGCTGCGTGATCGCTTTCATAAATCTGGACCCCTTTCCTTCCTCCTGCCTCTTCTGATGTATGAATCATCTTAAAAATCTTGAAGTCATTGAAGAAAGTAGTTATCTGCAATGAAAAAAACATGGTTTTATTTAGCTGAAACCTATTTTCTTTAAAATCCAACAATAGCAGGGTGTTAATGGGAGATGCAAAGAAAAAGAAAAGGCAAAATATGATAAAACATTGTGGGAGTGAAATGACTGCAGGTCCTTTAAAAATGATTGCTTTTGAATGCTACTCAGTTCAGTAGCATTATGAAGTACAGAAATAGGAATTGCCTGAACTATGTAATAAAAAAGTTAAGATGGTGATTGATTAAGTTTCATATGTATTAAATAGAAATGATCCCAAAGGCAAAGAACTGTTACATATTAGCCTTCCCAAGGTACTATATTCTCACTTGCTCTAGTAGGATTTAATTCCTCCAAATTCATCACCCCTTTTAGAAAACATCATCATCTCAAAGTATTAAAAATGGTCTGAGCTTATTATGACAGGAGAATTTTATAAAGTTAGAGAAAATTAGTATATTTTGAGCCTTTCCTCCCACTACCAATCCAGGACAGGAACCATAGATGAGAGCATTGATACAGATCGTTTTTATAAACAATGAATGTCTGACGTTTAGAATTGTTATATCTGAGAACAGATTAGGTTAACCAAGGTCAKTGTTGGTGGAAGGAAGTCTTGCTCCATCCATGTTGCCTCTGGTGAGACCTTTCATTTTCAGGTATCAGTTTTCTGTATAAGCCAATCTTCTGTTTGAGTCCTGTTCATGCCATTAGCATACCAGTATTTTTACATAGTCACATCCAAAGAACATKAATTTATAGGCAGAAAGTAAGGGCATGCAGCTTTTAACAGAACATGGAGAAGAAATACAGCAGAGAAATTCCAGGAAGTTACTCAGCAGCAGTCACTGAAGAAATTCCCATGGACCTAGGATTAAGGAGCTGAACCCATATTCTGTGGCCACTCTCAAGTTATTGACAGCATCATAAAGGGATTTCATTCCCGTATCCACAAGCTCAGGCTGTGTATGTGATTTCAGTGACATGGATACTGAACTAGACAGGCCAAAGAAATCATATTCCTTGGACCAGCACACACTGCTATGTGGCTGAACATATATCCTTAAAAGACATTAGCAATTATGTGACAGTGAAAATGGAGCACAATGTGCAGGAGGTGAAGGGTGATTTTCACAGTGCACCCATGCTCAGGTTGCATCTGTTCAGTGCTCAAGCAAGAACAGAAACATGGAGCAGGCYACGAGCTGGAGACAGAGGAATAAACCAGCCTGTGTGAGGACAGAATGACCCACTGATTCTGAACTCTGCACCACCTGGGAGCAGGTAGYGGCTTAATGAAGGATAGATGTTCCTCCCATTCTAAAAGGCACAATCCTAATTCCCTGAGCATAGCAGCTGCATCATTGCCACTCTGATGCAGTCAGAAAGAGTAACAGCTCTCCTGTGTGCATGGCAGGGTCATTAGGCCCCGCTGACCTCCAAACCCTCTGGAGGCTCAGTTCAGAAACATGAATCTGTTGGACAAGCAGGATGATATTAGCTGGCTCATCTGCTGACCTAGCAGAGGCTCCGAGTAAGTTTGGATCTGCTGATGAGGAAGGAATCTGATGGAAACAGCTTTTATTTTATTTTATTTTATTTTATTTTATTTTATTTTATTTTATTTTATTTTATTTTATTTTATTTTATTTTATTTTATTTTATTTTTTATTTTTTTAACATTTTTTTTCCTGATAGTTTCAGTAGAGCCCTTTCCCCCACCACAGAGTATTTTAATTTGCTTAGACACAAAATGTGCATTATATCTTCCTGACATCAAGCACGGTTTATGATAACACTTCACTGTTTTTATTATTGACTTGGAAAAGCACAAATGCTAATTATTTATGCTCGGGAAATACACGAAAGCTTAATGAGAGACTTAAAGCATCTTGAAATATCCTTTTGATTCATACATGACTTTTTTGTTTTGTGTTTTGCAAAGCACCCCTACACACACACACACACAACCCACAAGTGATACCTTAGATAAGGCAGGATGCAATTACCATGTAAGCTCATCTAAGTGGTTTTCAAACAAGGCTTCTCCTTCAACATTTTCCCCATTATTAATGGGGAATTCCCCATATTAAAATGCATGCTGACAACATTTCCAGCACCCGTTCTCTTCTTGAAAGATATATTGTTTTGGATTTTGAAGACTGGGGTTTGGGGTATGAAAGTAAATAATAACTGACTGCATTCATCAGTTTTTCAAATCCCTTGGATTTCCTTTACAAAATTCACCATGGTAACAGAGAGAGAACTGAAAAAACTTCAGCCAAAATAGAATAGTATCAAAGTTTTGATTCTTGAGCTTTCATTTCCCATCCATACCAGGCTCTTCTATTGGTAAGTTAAATTAGTTAGCTGACATCTATAATTCACTCTGCTTTTGTTGGCTTYGAATTTTCTTTTCAGGTATATTTATTCTTCTGTGGTTCTGAGAAAAAAAAGCAAGATCTACAAATAGCTGTTATATGTGACGGGAGTATTTTGTATACTGTTTGACGTAAACAGCAAGCTGAAAAGAGTGTCTTATTACACAAATGCTGCCGAGAAGGAAAAGTGCTGAGGGCTGAGGCTTTGAAGTGGGTCAGACTCAGCGAGCATCCAGTTATTTTGCTGTGTTTACCTCCAAGAGAATATAAACAAGAGCAAAGCTACAAAGGCATAATGCTCTTTTAGAAGCTGTCAAAAAGGAGAGGGGAAGAGTGGCTTCCCTTGGCTAGCTGGCAAAGTTCAATGGCCTATCTCTCTCCACCTGTGAAAACGCTCAGCCCATRTCTAGTGCCTCATATCCATGTAAACACAGAAGTTCTGGCAAAGACAAGTTTTCACGGGCCAGGAGTCCTAATCTTCCTTTATTTATGGTTCTTCATAATACCAAGCAGCTCTTTAAATCATTTACTGATAGCCTCTGGTCCAGGAAGCACTATGTGAGTCCCCATCCAACCAACAAAAAGCCTCAGCTCTTCATGGTTTTTGGCTCCTGTTGCTAATGGCACATTYTAAAGCCGACTGTAAGTTTAATGGTGTCTAAGCAGGTTTCCTATCAATATCCCATTAACATACTTTCCATTGCTACTATAATGCTATCACTGTTAACACATTCACAGCAGAGTGAAAAAGGAGTATTTTACTGAGATGAAAGAGTCTTAAAACTTTTAAGCTGCATTTTTGAGTTTAATCTCAGTGCATAAAATAGCTATTTTGCAAAACAGTGCCAGGAGCAGTTATGTATTCTATCACCTTAAAATAATCTTTTCCTTTTTCTGCTTTGCATTGTGCTTCAATGCATGGCACATTATCTAAACAAATAGAATGTGAATTTCTCAAGGAAAAAACAGACACTACTTTAGGGGTGTGCATATGCAGAGAAAACAGTTCTAATTATACCAAATAACTTTGATGTTGAAAAGTGAGTGATGAGCAGAAGGAAGTAGTTAGCTGTGTAATAAGATGCCAGTCATTTTTTCATTTGACCCCATGAAGCAGATGAACGGAGGAGGTGTCAAGGAGTGCTAGAAGACCTCTCTCTTCTCAGAACTATGTGAAGTAAAAAGTCTGTCCTCTGAATTACTGGAATGATCTGGAATGAAATATAGTCTCCATGTGCTCCACTTCATCCCTGTTTTTCACCCCAGACAGATACAGACAACACTTTTTTAGGCATTCCTCCAAACAAAATATATAAGAAAGCAGACATAGCCCCAAAAGACATAAAATGAAAACTCAGAGCAGTTAAAAAAAATCTATGGGCTAGGGGATACTCCCCATTTTTGCTTATAGAATGGCTCTATACAGCCTCTATTTCCCTTATTTTAATTCCTGCAGTTTTCCACTCAGGAGCCTGCTTTAAACATTTCTTCCACTTGATGCCTATTCAGATACTTAGCTCACAGTACTGTTCCTCAGTGCCTCCCTGCTCTTTCCTAACAGAGCAATCATAACTGTTTCTCAAGCTGTTAAAGCACCCATGAAATACTATGAATGCCTGCAATATAGCATAGTTTTGCTTGGCTCAGGGGACTTTCTGGCCCATGGAGGATAATGCAGGAATGGAAGGAAACTGTGAATATTTCATCTTTCTGCTCCCCAGGTGACACCCACTCTTGTGACTCTAATATAGTCATAAAGCTCCTGTTATACAAGAAATTTAGAAGACTTTCTGCACGGCTTCAGCTCTGCAGAATGGAGGCCCTCTGAAGGAAGTATCTAGACCTGAAGATCTGTGAATGCTTTAAGTGTCAAGAACTTGGTGCTGAGCTTCCATCAAGCTGAGCCTCCATGAAATTCCGATAAAGATGACAAGGAAATCTTTCCCAAATCAAAAAAAAAAAAAAAAAAAAAAAGAAAAAGAAAAATCTTCTAGCTTCAAGGACAGTGAAGTTTCTTCAAATGCACCTACTTCAATGTCAGGCTGCATCCTTCCCATAGACTACCTAACTCTTTAGACTTGACCACTTCTAGTTCACAGTCTCCATAACCTGAACCCCAGGATGAGCTAACATCCTGGGGTTGAATTAATAAACACAGTTAAGGTCTATTATAGTATGCACATACATGTATGCATAAAACTGGAGGTTTTATTTTATCTTAATTAAAATAACTTCTATTCAGTTTGAGCATGCTCACTTTTAAGAAAAAAATGCAAGAATCTGAATTTTAATTATTTGCATGTGAAGAAGAATTGTTAGTTTAAATGAGAGGCTTGG